GTAATCCATGATCAAATTGTTTTTTCTTTTTTTGTAATCCACAATTGAATTTTTTGTTTTTTTTGTTTGTTTTTTTTTGTAATCCATGATCGAATTTTATGTAATCCATGATCGATTTTTATGTAATCCATGATCGAATTTTTTGTAATCCATGATTGAATTTTTTGAAAATTTGTGATTTTTTTTTTTTAATCCATGATCGAATTTTTTTTGTAATCCATGATAGAATTTTTTGAAAATTTGTGATTTTTTTTTTTAATCCATGATCGATTTTTTTGAAAATTCGTTTTTTTTTTTTTAATTCCATATTATTCAAAGAGAAAATGAGAGAGATGATGATTTTGAAGCCACCCTATCCCAGCCATATTATTCACATATCGAGTCCCAACAGCAACAGTGTAGGGATGAGCACGACAGTGCAGGTGAGCATGAAGGATGGACAATCTTCGGGGATTTTAGATTGGGAACACAACAAAACACTAACATTCAGGGATTTGGGAATAGTCAGACGCCTGCTAATATCGATGATTTGTTTTTAGATCGAATCAATGAATTGTTAAACGAATTCAATCAATGGCACTAGCGTGACCAAGAAGAACAATAACGTCGTCTATCATTTTTTTTTTAGATCATATGTTACTAATTTTATGCTTTATTGTAGTCCATGTATGTTGATATACTTATTCCATGATAATTCTATGTTTACCCTTTTGTGTGATGTAAATTAAATGCTGAATGGCGGTTCATGCAGGGAAAGAACATATCAATATTTGCATATTCATTCAAAAACATGAAAATTCGTAATGGAGTACCCTCATTTCTTATTGAATTCCTAAAAAACAATATTTATAATGCATTTTAATAAGTTTTTCGGATTTTTTTTAAGCTTTATTTTGACAGATTCACGCGATTCCTAATCCGGATCGCCGATTCGCCGATCCGGATCGGTTTTTTGGGAGCCCGATCCGGGTCACCGATCCGTTTTTTAAACTATTGGTTTAAACCATATAACCAAGATCATTGTAGTGGAAAGCAAATGCTGTTCTTCTCATGGTTCTCATATGTCATGGGATCAGAAGAGATCACAATGAGTGGGTAATCATTTTCTGTTTCATATTACGACGTTGACTTCCACTTTGTAATCCAAGATTGGGGCAGTTAGCTATTATTGTGGCACAAGGTTCCAAGATATGGTGATATATGAGTTGTGAGGAACTCTCCTTAGGGTGGTTTTCCTGCCTAAAAATTGCTTTTGTAGAGCAAAACCGTTTAGAGACTGCATGCCTCCTCTTGGGAATACGCTTCCAAGTTCCAAGTGTGTCAAGAATTTGATCTTTCTAATTGGATCTAGAAAGCAATCTTCTTGTTTTAAAGAATAAGTGGACATTTTTTGCAGGAGGAGCGGCGGGGCCATTTTCCTCTATGTATGGGAACGGTGGATAATTGTGCTCCTTCCAGAGAAAGGAGAATCAGGAGCTTGTGACCCCCCATTCGCACATTTTAAGGATAGGTGGAAGGTTGGCATCCCCATACCCATCCAGCCCCTAGCTAGTTCCTAACCCATGAAAAGGGGGGCAATGGTACTAACCAACACCCATCATCATAAAAAGGGGGACAGGGAATTTAAACACACTAGGATAGAATTCATGAGTTGTCCATTAGGGATCTTCTAGCTATTTTTATGTCTCCATTGATGGTGATTGGTAGAATTTTGAGTGCCTTTTACTTTGGGTTGAAGCATTTTTTAGCGCATCGCTCTGGGCAGCATATGCAGAAAAATGTGATGCCCCCACGTATGCAGCACACCACCCACATATGCGAACACATTGCATCACAAGTGATGCAAGCGCATTTTTGCTCATGGGTGGGAAATGAATTTGTCTTTTTCCCTAAAAGGCGGGAAGGGTTTGGGGGGTTAAAACAACCCCCCAACCCACCCAAAAAAAAAAAAAGAAGAGGAAAACAGCATGGTTCTAAGGTGATTAAAAACCAAAAATTCCCAACTCTTGATTTTCTCTTGAGTCCAAAGTTTTTGAAAACATTAAAGAGATTTTTTTGACTATTCGTTGAGCTTGTTTTGGGCATTGCTTGGACCGTATTTGGGCTTGATTCACCAACTAATCGAGCGTTTTCAAGGACCGAGTGGAAATCGAAATTTCTTTGGGAGGTTTTATATGTTTTTCATTTCCTAGTTCTTTTCTTGGGGCAATGTCTTCATCATCTTCAAGTAACAAATGTCTTGCATAGAAATATGCTGAACTCAAAAACCCTAGGTATTGAAATTGCATTATTTGTATCCTATGTAGGGGAATACTTATGTAGAGGTATTTTCCAACAAAAGAACACCTAACCGGTATTACTGGGAATGTTAAAGCATGCCGATTGAGAGATTAGAGCATACATAGCCAAGAAAAAGGATAAGAAAAGAAGACAGTGAGACTAAAAGAGTTAATAGAAGAAATTCAATTGTTTGATGACTTGTTTGATTGAGAGTTGAGAGTTGATTATGTTTTTCTTTTATACGTTATAAACATTTGGAAAAGGCTCTGATGATGATGACATTATAACGTTTGGTGTTTAAAGTTTGGATTTTGGATATTTTATATGAGATGGAATGGATTGCTTTGTTTTACATGTTTATTGTCTCACACATTTGAAGTATTAAATAATAGAAGTTTGAATAAAAAACTCTATTACTCTTTATTAGGCTATTAGGGGACTCAAAGTCTCAAACCACTAATATATTATGGATGCTGAATAAATTAAAATACCTATTATTACATAGATCACATTTAGATTTTTTTTATGCATTAATATTTGTGAGTTTTTTTGAAAAATTAAAATTTTTGACCGCATTAGAGGTGATGCACCGGCATTGCGACCGCATTGAGCTGCATCAGACCTCCGACCCATGGGGTTCACATCCTGCATTTTAAAGCACAAGGTTGAAGTATTTGGCTTGATGTATAGAAGGAACACTCCATCTTAAATTCTTCTCTGGAAGGATTGAATGTGGTTCTTCCTTCATATACGTTAAGCGAAGGTCTACAATATGCAATTGTTATTTGTGGTGACAATTAAAGCATCCACTATTTGTGTAATTTCATAAATGCTGGTGAGATGAATGTTTGTTATCTGGAACTACGCTCCAATGTCCATCACTGACAATACATGGTGACTGACCCCAGTTTTGTACCATATACCATTAAAAGGGGATGGTTATATAAAAAAAAGGGGATGCTTCCAACTTTGGTCCCCCATATTTATTATGGGGATAAGTGTGGCAAGCCCACTTATGGGGAATAAGAGCCAGATGACCCCCACATCATATTGGATGCAGTTGTGTCCAGTTCTAAGTAGAAGATAACTCGCTCTTCATTCCCATCTCCATAAGATTGGACTCTACGTACAATGTGGGTGCAACCTTTGGCTATAGGGGCCTCTTTTCTGCCATGTAAATCATGTACGTAGAAGTGTGGTAAGGCAAGGTAAGCTTCTTTTATAACTGGACAAATTGCAGTGTTGCATGATCACCAAATCAAAGAGTTGACATACCTCTATATGAGACAGTATTCGATACTTGGGGGATTAGAATGCCTCAGGAGAGAGG